ATTTTATGCCTTTTTCATCCATTTGTTTATCAAAATGTGTCCATATTGAACTTTTATTCTTAGAAATACCAATGGTCTTGATAGAATTAATCCTGCCACCATCACCATCACCACCACCATCATCACCATTATCATGCTCATTATCATTATCATTATCAATATCACCATTATCATAATTACAACCACTATAATTGTCATTACCACAATCATCATAATTGTTATAATTGTTAATATTTCCTTCAGGTTCTAAAAGGTGCTTTCTCTGTCTAAAATAATTACTTTATTATTGTCATTGTAATTATTGTAATTGTCAATCTCGATTCTTCTTTTTGACATTATTAATTAATTTAATTAATTTATGCTTATGCTATGGTTTTTTTTTTTAATTGAAAATAATATATTAATGAATGAGATAATAATAACAATAATGAAATAGTGTTACCGGAATTAGATTTTGACGCAGATCTTTTGGTCGAATCTTTTAATTCCGGGACAATTTAAATTTTATTTCTATATTTTTATTATTATTTAATCTATTATTTCATTATTTTTATTATTTATATTTTTTATTAATTCTATTTATTTATCAATAACGTGTATAATTATTTATTATCATCTGAATTCGTGTTACGTTTCGCGTATTTAATTATTATTATTATTAATCAATCCGTAGCACATTCATATTTATTTAACTTTATTTAGTAGAGATTAGTGATGATTCTTCAAAACGGGCGGATTCGTCCAAGTACAAAGTGAGCGAATTCGGGCTAATATGTGAAGAACATGTATATAAAGAACTTAATTTGACCTAATGTAAAAGTAACTTTCTTACAAGTTAATTAGTTTCGACTAAATAAAACTAAATAAATAAAATATAAATATTTTATTTAAAACTTTTATCTTTAACCAAAATTATTCGCTAATAACAAAATCAATTCGTTGATCCCCTATTCATTCTGATCCACACAAAACAAAAATAATTGTTATCGCCAATTAAAATACACTCTCCCAAATTTAATCGGTGACAATAGTAATAATAATAATGAAATAATAATAACGAAATAGCAATAATAATTAAATAATAAAAAAATAAGGTTTTCACTGATCAACAAATAATTTTTCCATAATAACCATAAATAACGTAATTTATTATTATTTTTATTTTACATAAACACTTGCATCAATTATTGATTTTTTTTAATGTCAAATTTGTTATTTTGCCATTTATTTTTATTCATTTATTAGTATCTATACTAGTTTCAAAAATAATTTTGAGCTTCTAAAGGCAATTATAACATGAAGTTGATCCGGGTCAAACCCGGGTCAATTAAATCATGACCCGACCCGACCCGTTCGGGTCAACCCGACTCGTTTCGGAGCTCTACTATTACTATAGTGAATAAAAGGCACAAAAAATACTTGTATGACAAGAATGTTTGTTATAGAGAGTGAATTAATACTTTTTACTTTTTTAATAAAAATTTTGCTTTATCCAGCCCCTTTAGAAAGTTATGCAATTTAAATTATGGCAGCAAAGAAAGAAAATAAATGGATGAAATTAATCGAGTTATCACGGTTATTTGCATGTAATCATCTTATTTACTTATTTAAATGCGTCGAATCCTCCCATATGAATACATGAATGAATTCAAAGAAACAAAATTTGATTTCATTAAAAAAAAAATTTTTTAATATCAGATATATATATTTCTTTTTTTATGATATTCAATTTTGTAGATCCTCTATTCTTAAACCGAAGATTTTTTTTTTGTGAAAAAATAGGAAACCCCTCTTGCCTTGTTATATCCTCTGTTATACGAGAAATATGTGGTTTATTTCCAGAATTTCCAGCTCGACGCGACTAAATAGCAATGGTGTAACAGTGGTGATATTAATGATAGGGAGTTTCCTCCGCCCCATCCCCAAATTGGAAAACGATTTTTTAAAAAATTTCCAAAAAAAAAAAAACCACGGGAACTTTTGTGTACATTTAGGGTAATACTCAGATTACATAACCCGCATAAATGATGAATGAACTTGACCATTATATATGTCAAAAAAAATTTAATCTTTTTTCAATAGCATTTTCCAATTAAAGAAATACTCTACTTTTTTTTTTTAATTTATGATTTTGGACAATGATTGTAAAAAAAAAAGCTTTTGTTAATAAATCAATCCTATTTCGTGGCATATTTGTTTCGCAAATTTGCTCCTCGTATAATATTTATTTTTCCATCTTTATCTAAAATACAGACAATGTCTATAAAAATGATGTATCTTATTATCTTTTTAAAAAATAAAAATTTAAATAATAATTAAATATGACTTCAAATAGTACTAATACTAATACTAATGCCGGCATCCCCCCTCCAGTTCCAGCAAATGTCAATCAAGTTACAAATACAAATAATCCTCCGATGATTATTAACAACATTAATCCTCCAGCGAGGATGGCTGTCGTTGATTCATTCTCCCAACAAATAATTAATGGGGCACCGGGTTTTTTCAACAATCAAAATAATAATAATCCAAGCGAATCGTTTAATTTTACAGAGGGGAACCAGATGAATTTTGGCCAAAACTAAAAAATTAAGCCATTTATTATATATATGCCACGTTTTAATATAGCACACAAACAAAAAAAATTTGCTGCTGTAGTCTAGTTCATCATCATTCACGCATCGAAGATATTCAACAATGGCAATAAAAAAAGCCGCTGTTTGATAACTTTAAAATAGCATAAATTTCATAAAAAAAAAATATTATGTATATAAATATTATAATAATTATGTATATATGTTAAAATTAAAATTTTCCTTTAATAAAATAAAAATCAAGAATATGAAAAATAAATATAATAGCAACAATTTTATTCAACTTTTTTCTGTAACTCAAAATTTCAATCCAAGATTCATGGCTATTTAAAATCTCCTACACAAATAATGATAATTAATAATTAACAACCTTCTTGTGAATTATATAATATTGTGACGTATATTAATCTTGATATTCTTGTAATGTATATAAATCTTGAAATCTTGTAGATTCATTCAATATATTAATGATTCAAAATATTTTATTATTAAATTTCTTTTTCCATTTTCTCTGATATATATATATATATATACATATACATATACATACAAAACTTCATACTTCAGGATCGTTTAATAGTTTAAGATGGCCAACAAAGTTAATGATTGAAAGGAATTATTTATAATATCTATACTCTATTACCCTCAAGGCAAGAAGCTAGTTCCTCCACCACTCTATTCTCTGACCGGAAAAAAGCACGATAAGGGCATAAAAGTCGAACAGTACTAAATTTTGGGCAAACTAGATTATACTTACTTGGTGTGAGGTCGACAAAGTTTCAACTCCCAATGATTGAGGAAAATAATAATAACTTGGGAGATACTTTCATTGGGGTGTCCAGAAAAATGTGTTTGCATAATTTCTTGCATTATTTTAAAGAATAATGCATATCGCTTAAATATCTATCTTTAAAACTTTTGTGTTTTTCAAAATTTTCACAATGGTTTCAGCTCATGAATATTTAGTTAAATATTCAAACAAGTTTACGAATGAGGAGACAAGGTGAGCCTTTTATATATAAACAAATGTGCACTGCATTGCATGAAATCAAAATATGTAATATTTACTATTACTACTAACGTAGAGGTATTTATTTTAGGTCGTTCTGTGCAAAGAATTCAACCTTCTATCTTCAGCTACAATAAATATCCTTATCTACTGCTGCCTAAAATCAAACAAAAAGAATTCCAAGAGCCCCACTCATTGCAAACGTGATTTTATCTGCTGTAAAAGTCGCATATGTTAATATTAGGCCTTGGGTCTTATGAACCGTTTTGTGGTGAGAATTGATACATTGAGACATGCATACCCATTAATTTCAATGTTTTCTGGATGTTTATTTTAGTAATGTTTAAAATGTGGCCTCAACATTATCATTACTTACTATTGTGAGTAATGCCTGTATAGACTTCCTCTCCGCTTACACTCTTGATAAATACAACTAAGGATATAATAGATAACATTTTGTAAAAATGAATTCTTTCAAAATAAAAAAGATTTTGTATTATTTTGTTTAAGAAAGAATCTGAACTAAATGAAACTTTGATCATATGCGGTTAGATGACTTCATCCAAACAAAAATAATCAAAAACTTGATTGTTGTCAACAAACATCAACTAAATCTTTTTTAAACAAAAAAAAAATAATAAAAAACTTGATTGTTGTAAAAAAAAAAAAATAAAAAATTTTTAAAAAAAAAAAAAAAAAAAAAAAAATCCGCGATTATGGTTTTAACGTAAGAAAACAAAAAAATAAATCCAATCAACATTCAATCGCTTATTGTTGATTTTTTTAAATGATTAATGTCTTTTATCTATAAAAAGGAAATTGCAGTTTCACAAAAATGGTT